CTCTTCAGAAAGCCTCCCCAGGCCTGGCACAGTGGCTCATGCCTGTAATCCCAACACTTTGGGAGTCTGAGGCAGGCAGATTGCTTGAGGCCAGGAGTTCAAGACCAGCCTGGGCAACATGGTAAAACCCTATCTCTGCTAAAATTATAAAAATTAGCCAGGCGTGGTGCTACATGCCTGTAGTCCCAGCTTCATGGCAGGCTGAAGCACAAGAATTGCTTGAACCTGGGAGGCGGAGGTTGCAGTGTGCCAGGATCGTACCACTGGACTCCAGCCTGGGCAATGGAGTGAGACTCTGTATCAGAAAATAAATAAATAAATAAAAATTTAAAAGAAGAAAGCCTCCCCTGTCCCCCGCTCCATCGCATCCCTCCTGGCTGCATAAGGTTTATAATTACTCGTCTGACTGCCTAACTAGCTGGGAGCTCGCTGAGGGCAGGTACTGTTCTACCTATCTCTCTTTCATTGATGTTTTTTGACCCACTAGCATCTACCGGTCAGACTAAGCCTGAAATATTGGCCCGGTTTTAGGACCCAGACTGATTAGTTACTGGGATGGCGAGGGGACTGGTAGTTTGTTGTGTGGCTGATGGAGGGAAGTGCTCTTCCTTCAGCTATCTGGTGGGTTGTCTCAGGCCCTGCAGAGCACCCTGTGTGACTCTGGAGAGCAGCGAGTTGCATGTCACTCAGAACAAGGAGGGATTGTCTAAATTAAAACCATTTACAACCAACAGGTTGCTTTGGAGAGTAGTAAGTTAAGTTTCCTATCCCCTAAAGTTCAGTGTGGACTTGTCAGGGCAGCTTCATTGGACATAAAAGTGGATTCGTGTCTATAGTTCTTTTCAGCTCTGAGATTATTTAGTGAGCATTTATTAGGCACCTGCTCTGTGCCAGGTTCTGACACAGGTCAAAAGTCTGCGAAAGGAGAAAGGCCAGGAAGGATGGACTAGAAGCGTCTCAGACCACATCACAGTGTGGAGAACATTTGGGCCAGGCTGATAGAATGTCCCCAAACCAAGGCTTCCCCCACAGAAGGGTCCTGTGTTGGGCAGGAATGGGTTGGCACTGGTCCCCCTGCCATGTTCAGTCAGTGGCTGGGAGCAGCCTGGGAGCAGCATGGCCTCTGTGCACCTGCTCCCATAGCAGGTTCTTTTCCAGGGTGACTGAAAGGCACATTTCCATGGCTGCCACACAGGGACTCTAGAAAGCATTGCCCCTCACACAGCACCTTCCCAGAGTGCTCCCCCAGAATCATCTCAGGGGCTCTGTGGTCACCTTCTAGCAAGTAGTAGAGCTGGACTCCAACTCTGTGGTCACCTTCTAGCAAGTGGTAGAGCTGGGCTCCAACTCAGATCCCTCTGATTTAATAAAACCCATGTTTTATTAACCAAGACCATGCTGCATCTCAGGATCTCTCCTAGCTCCTGAGACAGCATCCAGAACACACACCTACTTGTCGATTGTCACAGTTTGCAACTGAGTGTACCAGAAGCAGTAAGTGCCAGAATTTAGCCCATCACTTGATTTATGGCTCATTTACATTGGGATAGAACTATGATTTGACCCAACGTCTATCGGTTCTGGGTACAGTTTACACTTTTTTTTTTTTTTTTTTTGAGACGGAGTCTCGCACTGTCCGCCAGGCTGGAGTGCAGTGGCGCGATCTCTGCTCACTGGCAAGCTCTGCTCCCGGTTCACGCCCTCCCCTGCCTCAGCCTCCCGAGTAGCTGGGACTACAGGCGCCTGCCACCGCGCGCCGGCTAATTTCTTGGTATTTTTAGTAGAGACAGGGTTTCACCGTGTCAGTCAGGATGGCCTCCGATCTCCTGACCTCATGATCCACCTGCCTCAGCCTCCCAACGTGCTGGGATTACAGGTGTGAGCCCACCTCCACCGCCTATTTATCTAATATCCATTATATCATCTTTTTTGAGACAGAATCTTACACTATCCCCCAGGCTAGAGTGTGGTGGCGCAATCACGGCTCACTCCAGCCTCAACCTGGCTCAAGTGATTCCTCCCGCCTCAGCCCTCCTAAGTAGCTAGGACTGCAGGCGCACACCACCACACCTGGATAATTGTGTTTATTTTTTGTAGGGACAAGGTCTTGCTATGTTGCTCAGGCTCGTCTCAAACTTCTAGGCCCAAGTGATCCTCCAGCCTCAACACCTCCTATAAGTTCTGTGATTACAGGGGTGAGCCCACCATACCCGCGGCTAGTTTACTCTTAATTACTAGACTTCCTGAGGACAGGGCCCCAAAGACTTAAACTAGGGAAAGGAACAACTTTACCCAAGCACGTTCTCTTTTTTTTTTTTTTTTTTTTGAGACAGAGTCTCGCTCTGTCGCCCAGGCTGGAGTGCAGTGGCACGATCTCGGCTCACTGCAAGCTCCGCCTCCCGGGTTCACGCCATTCTCCTGCCTCCAGCCTCCCGGAGTAGCTGGGACTACAGGCGCCCGCCACCTTGCCTGGCTAGTTTTTTGTATTTTTTTTTAGTAGAGACGGAGTTTCACCGTGTTAGCCAGGATGGTCTCGATCTCTTGACCTCATGATCCGCCCGTCTCGTCTCCCAAAGTTGCTGGGATACATGCGCGTGACGCCACCGCGCCCGGCCGCACATTCTCTTAAAAGATAACGTTTCAGGCCCCAAAACACGGAGATGGTAACTGCCACCCTCTTAAATATTGTGGAATGAATGATGAATTACAGGGAAGAACGATGCAGCACAAATTGCAGACCAAAACCCTTATGATTCACTCTGAATACATCTGTCCACAGATGTGCCCAGGACCCTCAACACAAAGCTGGGACAGCTGAGGTCAAGTGTGCCCTAGGCTCCTAAACGCCAGAGACAGAGCCAAGTAGTCAGCAGCAAGATGGAGACCCAGCAGTGCAGGCATTCAGAGCAGGCCCGAGACCCAGCACTGGCCCTCACGCCATAAGATGTGCATGGGTTCATTCAAAGTGAAATTGAGGGAATATGTAGGGGAAGGCCTTATATATGGCACTGTACACAAAAATATTGTTAAAAAGTGTGATAATAATCCATATACTGGATCATCCGCAGTCTCCAAGAAGTAGGGGAGTTGGACCCTGAGAAAGCTCAGCCCTCTGGAACACTGAGGAACTGCCTTTTCTGGTCAAGTTGAGGTTTCCAAGTCACAGAGAACTAATCCTATAAAAACCACGGTTTGTTTTTGTTTTTATTTTTATTTTTTTGTTTCGTCTCATAACCACAGGGCTGGGGGTACAGATCTTTGATCTTTATCAAATACTTTGTTTGCTTGTCTTCTTAAGTGTGGGGAAGTGAACATAATACGACTTTTTCTCAACTGCTTGGTCTCAGCATTATAATAATCCACTGTCGTACACACTTTGCTTCTGTATGATTGCTCCCAAATTGTTGGGCATTACAATACTGTTTCCAGTCCCTCGTTGTCTTTACGCAGCCTCGCGTGCTGATGACCACTCCTCATTGTGGCCAGTGTGCCTACCTTCAGGAAGCAAGGTTCCCTCTTTAAAAAAAAAAAAAATAGGAACGAAGGAGTATTGCTTCTTTAAAGTTGGGAATTCTAATATGCTGGAGAAGACGTTAAAGATTAGTAGGCTTATGAAGAGCCAGTGGGCTCTGAGAGACTTCCTCTGAATACCATGGCGGGAGTTTTAGTGTGTTAATTTTAGTGATGGCCATTTTATCCTTCCAGGGGCTTCTTCCCTGCTTCTCTGTCATATTTTGAACAAATGAGATGTGTGTGTGTGTGTGTGTGTGTGTGTCTGTCTCACTCTGTCACCCAGGCTGGAGTGCAATAGCACGATCTCGGCTCACTGCAACCTCTGCCTCCTGGTTCATGCCATTCTCCTGCCTCAGCCTCCTGAGTAGCTGGGACTACAGGTGCCCGCCATCACACCTGGCTAATTTTTTGTATTTTTAGTAGAGACAGGGTTTCACTGTGTTAGCCAGGATGGTGTCGATCTCTTAACTTCGTGATCCACCCACCTCAGCCTCCAAGAGTGCTGGCCGCATTTTTCTTTAGATCACCTAAATATTTCATTGCCTGTGTAGCCTATCTGGTGCTACCCTAGTATAATGCCATAAATGAAGCATTTTGTTGGATGTGGCAAAGAATATTATTTATGTCATATGCTCTAGAATCAGACAGAAGTGGTTGGAAATCCCCAGTTTAATCACTGAATACCTGTGTGAACTTGTACACATCTTTGCAAGTCTCTGAGCCACTTTTTTCTCATCTAAAAAATGGAGAATGGAGGTAATAAATAGCTGCTTCTTAAGTTGTGAAGCTTAGGTGCTTTAATGCGTTTTTTCTCTCTCTTTTTCATTTTATTTTATTTTATTTTATTTGTTTTTTGAGACAGAGTCTCGCTCTGTCGCCCAGGCTGGAGCGCAGTGGCGCAATCTTGGCTCACCACAACCTCCATCTCCTGGGTTCAAGCAATTCTTGTGCCTCAGCCTCCCGAGTAGCTGGGATTACAGGCATGTGCCACCATGCCCGGCTACTTTTTGTATTTTTAGTAGAGATGAGGCGGGGGGCATCTCACCATGTTGGTCAGGCTGGTCTCGAACTCCTGACCTCAAGTGATCTGCCTGCCTCAGCCTCCCAAAGTGTTGGGATTACAGACGTGAGCTACTGTGCCTGGCCACATTCTCTTATATAATACAGTACATGGGATGTTGTGAACAGTTGGCAAATTATAATTGTAATTCCTTTCTTATTCAAGCAACTTCTCCCCTGAAAACAAAGCTGTGAGTCTTCCAAGCTATTGAAAGTTTTGGCACAGAACCTTCTCTCCATTCTGCAGGCTCCTTAGAGAATGTAAGCTCATCACCTCACCAGACAGTTCTTCTATAGACAGTTGGAAGTTCTGGCAATTGGAAAGTTTCTTTATGTCAAGTAGCAAATGGCCTCTATTTCAGAAAAGGACAAAGTCAACTTCCATCCCCTGTAGCTGAGGCTGACACCAGTTTTTTCTTGCTCCGCAGTGAACAGAGTATCTGCCAAGCCCGGGCTTCCGTGATGGTCTACGATGACACCAGTAAGAAATGGGTACCAATCAAACCTGGCCAGCAGGGATTCAGCCGGATCAACATCTACCACAACACTGCCAGCAACACCTTCAGAGTCGTTGGAGTCAAGCTGCAGGATCAGCAGGTCAGTGCTGGAATTACAGATTATACCCGTGAGCCTGCGCACCACCTCCTCACCACCCACCCCTTACACACACGTATCATTAAGAGGTCAGAACAAAAAGGTCAATATTCGGAATCAGAGCACCTGGGCTCGGATTATGACGCCATATCCTCATACTTCAAGGTATGACACCTTAAGCAAATTGTTTTCTGGATTTCACTTTTTACCTATGTTACATGGAGACAGAAATCCATACCCTCCCTGTTTCACTGTGTTATTGTCAGATTAAAATAAATAATAGATGTGGGAAAGCTTTGAAAAAGTAGTATTGCAAAAATGTGTTCATCTTACTCACATGTAAGGTGGCTATTAAGATTTGGGGTTCATCAGCCTTCTAAGTCTGACTTTAGAAAGAGTATCAAGATGATTGGGAGAAGCTGGGGTCATTTCTGTCCCTGATAGTTCAACCTAGGCCAATCAGATAAGATAGTTTGTGAGTGTACCTGGTAAATACCTACATAAATACGAGAGAACAATCATGTCCACCTGTGTCGTGAATAGTCCTACACACATAATTAATGGCAAAAGAGCCTGATGTGACATGGCCTAAAATAGGGGCGTGGAGAAACAGGCTGTTTAACCTGTTTAACCACAGTGACTTTGGTTAGTTCGGTGCTCTCCCTCCGACTCTCTTCTTAGAGATTCACAAGGGCATTTATAGCAGTGAAGTTAACAGATCTGTAATTGTAGCATTTGTGAAAAACTCTATATAAACAGCATCTTGTGGCAGCCTTAGTAGGTCAAGCTTCAGCTAAGATGAGCGGCAGGTTAGCTGCTATCTTGGAAAAAATCAGCAATCAGAAGAGAGAGAACAGAAACTCTGGGTTCTGTTTTAATGTGTTGCCTGTTGATTGGGTTTTTGCTTTAACCAAAATAGCCATATTAAGTTTCAGATGCTCATGGCTAACAGAGACATCCCTACCCCAGGACCCCTGATAAAAGGTAGTCTTTGTCGCCAGGCGCGGTGGCTCACGCCTGTAATCCCAGCACTTTGAGAGGCCGAGACGGGCGGATCACAAGGTCAGGAGATCGAGACCAACCTGGATCACACGGTGAAACCCTGTCTGTACTAAAAAATACAAAAAAAATTAGACAGACATGGTGGCGGGCGCCTGTAGTCCCAGCTACTCAGGAGGTTGAGACGGGAGAATGGCATGAACCCGGGACGCGGAGCTTGCAGTGAACCGAGATCGCACCGCTGCACTCCAGGCCGGGCAACAGAGCAAGACTCCGTCTCAAAAAAAGAAAAAAGGTAGTCTTTCTAACCTTGAAAGCTTGGTACCTCCAGAGGCATCCCTTCCCTTGTTGATGAGCCTTAATGGTATAATGGTATAAATGTCTTTCTAGAAACCTTATAGAAGCTGCCTTCCTAAAATTCCAATTCACTAATTCTAGATCTGCCTTTTAGTGACACACTGTGCCACACATTGCAGGATATACAGAACCTTTGGACCCAATTATGGTGTCAAAAATATCTCAAGTTTTCAGAACACCTGGTGGTTGGGGCTTGTGAGGGCAATACCTCCATATCTTTGACACAAGGTCCATTAGGTGCGGTTCCTGAATCATAGTAGATGTTCCCTAAGTGATTACTTTTATTATGACAAGTTTTCCATTCCCTTCCTGCCTCTTGGTTGCCCTCCAGGGCATGGTAGGAAGACAGCATGGTGTACTGGAAAGGGCATGGGAAGGGAGAGCTCCCCAAAACCCAAACACTGCCTGTTCTCAGGGACCTCAGCACCTCACAGCCTCCTTCAGAGGAAACCACATGTCGAGAAAGAGACCTTTTCCCCACCCTGGGAGGGACTGACAGCAGTCTTCAGTGGTGTCCTGTTTAAATTTGGAGAGCTATGTTGATTCTTAGAGGCCTCCTGGAGTCTGATTGAGAAGTTCGGAGCACAGCCTCCCACTTGGAATCACATGTTCAGGAGACAGGCTGTCAGACAGGATTGAGGGATGGGGCATGTTTAGCTAGGAATGGAAAAGAAATTCTTGGTAAACCAAGACATTAGAGAAAATGGCAGGAAATCTGGTCCATAACAATTTTTAGGGACCTCAGTAGAAAGACCAATTTTCACAGATTTGGTTTTAGCCCGTGTGGACTACCACCTTAAAGTGGTCAGACATGTTAAGAAAGTCAAAGATTCCTGGTTTTTATAACTAAATAGGGATATCTTACATGTTTAATGCTCTTTATGGTTAATGGAGCACTTTTCATGTCTGTTATTTTATTCTCCCAGTAAGGATAATGATACAAGAATTATTATCACCATTTTGCTGAACAGGTAGACATAAAACCAGGTAATCAGTTGTGGGGAAAATATATAGTAAGTTGTGGTACCATTAGCCAAAATCTAACTAAATCGCACATTCGGGGTGAAAAACCTAAAGGATTTTTAGTTGAGAATGAGTTTTGGTCACCAAAAAATGTGGCTGTTGCAGTGGCTCATGTCTGTAATCCCAACACTTTGGGAGGCCAAGGCAGGTGAATCACTTGAGCCCAGGAGTTTAAGACCAGCCTGGGTCGGCCGGGCGCGGTGGCTCAAGCCTGTAATCCCAGCACTTTGGGAGGCCGAGACGGGCGGATCACGAGGTCAGGAGATCGAGACCATCCTGGCGAACACGGTGAAACCCCGTCTCTACTAAAAAATACAAAAAACTAGCCGGGCGAGGCGGCGGTCGCCTGTAGTCCCAGCTACTCGGGAGGCTGAGGCAGGAGAATGGCGTAAACCCGGGGGGCGGAGCTTGCAGTGAGCTGAGATCCGGCCACTGCACTCCAGCCCGGGCGACAGAGCCAGACTCTGTCTCAAAAAAAAAAAAAAAAAAAAAAGACCAGCCTGGGCAACATAGTGAGACCCCATCTCTACAAAAAAATATATAAAAATTAGCTGGGCCTGGTGGGGCATGCCTGTAGTCCCAGCTGCTCAGGAGGCCAGGTGGGAGATTCTGTTGAGTCTAGGAGGTTGAGGCTTCAGTAAGCTGTGATCGCGCCACTGCATTCCGGCCCGGGTGACAGGGCAAGAGTGTCTCAAAAAAACAAAAACAAAAAATGTTAGTGAGTTCTCAGGCTGAATTAGTAGTAGAGTGAATTGATAGAGGTAGAATAAATTAATAGAGGTGGAGCGAATTTGTGGAGGCAGAGGTTCAGAAGAAGGGAGACTACTGTCCTGCTCTGGTCTGCATGGGTCATTCTTCCCACAGAACGCTGGTACCGCATCTGAGTACAACAAACTGGAATCTACAAGAAGAAGGGCATCCAAACTGGTGAAAGATCTGAAAGTGGTATAATATGGGGAACAATCAAAGGAGTAACAAGAGATATTTACTTGGAGAAGATAGAAACTGAAGGGGGCATGACCACAGTTTTCAAGTCTCTGAAGGGTGCCATGTGGAAGAGAAATCTCACTTTCAGTGTGGACCCTGGAGAACAGAACTAGGAATATTGCATGGATGCTATAATGAAAAAGATTTTAACGCAGTAAAAGGATGAGCTTTCTTACAAGCATACCGTTGAAAGATGGAAACTATTACATTGAGAGGTAAGATTCTGGGAAAGACAGTCTGTCATCAAGTAGAGATTTGGATGAGATGAGACCTCTAAAGTCTTTGCCAGTCTGTAGATTCTGTAGTTTTTAGATCCAGGTATATATGGGGTCAAGAAGATAGTTCTCCACTATCAAGCATCTTTCTTCTTTGTAAAGGACTCTTGACTCTTTTTACCCAGAAGCCCCCAGAACGTGTGAAGACAGTACAGTCATGCACCTTGTAACGACGGGGATACATTCTGAGAAATGCGCCCCTGCGGGATTTTGTTATCGTGTGAGTGTGCTCACACAAACCTAGATGGTACAGCCTACTACACGCCTGGGCTGTATGGTACAGCCTGTTGCTCCTAGGCTACACACCCGTACAGCATGTCACCGTACTGAATACTGCAGGCAGTTGTAACAGTGGTATTTGTGTGTGTAAACATACGTGAGTATAGAAAAAGTATAGTAAAAATACCGTGCTATAGTCTTATGGGACCACCATCGTATATAGTCTGTTGTTGACCAAAACATCTTTATGTGGTCCATGATTATATTTGGAGTTGCAAGACCTTTCTTTAAAAGAACAGGAAAGGCACCCTACTTACTCCTACATTCCCCAGAATAAAACTTGTGCAAACGCTGTAATTATGGGCTGCTATGCAAAAAGTTCAACATTTTAAAATGTTCATCCTTCAGCAAGTGTCCAGATCAGTTCAGCCAAACCTTGGAGAATTATTTTTAAAATAAAGCTGATAAGGAGATCCCAACAAGCCTCCAAAAACAAAAAGTTGAAAGTGAACAATTGGAAACAGATAAACCTTACAAACACTAGCCAAAAGAAATTGATGTGGCTATGTTAATATCAAAGTAGACTTTAAGGCAACAAGTATTCCTAAAGATAATAACAAACTTTTTAATGATAAAAGGGCAGTTGAAAAAGAAGTCATAGCATCTCTACATTTGTATGAATCCATTCATACATCTTCAAAACACATAAAGCAAAAATCTAAAGGGAGAAAGGGACAAATTCAGAAGCATAGCTGGAGATTCTAATCATACCTCCAAGCTACTGATTGAATAAAGAAATAGAAATAAGTAAAGACAGAAAACTTGAATCACATTGTTAACCAACTTGAGCTAATTTACATTTGTAGAAACTATAGCCAACAACTGTATGATGCATAGTCTTTTCAAGTAAACATTAAACATTTACTGAAATAGACCATATGCTGGGCCATAAAGCAAGTGTCAAGTTAAATAGGATGGAACTCATACCGAGTATGTTCTTTGACGACAGAGGAATTAAACCAGAAATTAGTAACAGAGGGTAACTTTTAAAATCTCCAAATGTTTGGAAATTAAGTAGTGTAATACTGGATGAACCATGAGACAGAAAAGAAATCACAATGTAAACTAGAAAATATTTTGAAC